ACAAATTATCAGGTACAAAAAGCTTAACCTTTCTATACAATTATATTAACTAAACTTTTATCAGTTACAATTTGCCTTTTTTTCTTTTTCTTTTTTTTTTTTAAACTTTTATTCAATTCCTTGCTAGTTCACCTGAAAGTCTTTCCTGTTTGACGCAGTATATATTTGTCTTTCCTGGTTCAATTTTATGTCTTTGTTTTCTTTTACCTATTAATAAAATGTAAAAGATTTCTAATCTATGAATAAGAGGATTCTGAAATTAAAGAATCATTTAGCTGTTGGAGTCTATTAATTTTTGGTTTTGTATTTTGAGCAAATTTTGAAGTTCTTGATTTACAAGTGCACGTATTAAAGTTAGCTGAAGTCACTTTACTTCATAAAATCAAACACATGGATACTGAATAATGCTTATCAGTTTGTTGCTTCAATTTGATGCTAGTGATGTGTAGTAAGTTTTTATGTAACAAGTGTTAGTAAATTGATTGTGTCATGACCCTCACTGCAAATGATATGTTACCAGGCAAAGAATTTGATACCTATGCAAAAGTTGTTGTGAATGCGGCTGGGCCATTTTGTGATGCTGTAAGGAAAATGGCTGACAAAAATGTACAACCTATAATCTGTCCAAGCAGTGGTGTTCATATTATTCTACCTGATTACTATTCTCCTGAAGGAATGGGTTTGATTGTTCCTAAAACCAAGGATGGACGTGTGATTTTCATGCTGCCATGGCTGGGAAGAACTGTTGCTGGCACGACAGATTCTAACACTAGCATAACTTTGCTTCCAGAACCACATGAAGATGAGATTCAGTTTATACTGGATGCCATAAGTGATTACCTTAATATTAAGGTGTGAAATTTTAGCAAATAAGACCCCTTGATTTTGTGCAATTGTTTTATTTGGCGATTTTTTTTAAGAGTATTCTTAATGTGAAATTTCTTTCTGAATCAAATAGGTACACTCGTGCATACTATTTCGTCTGTGGTTCATCAGTTGATTATCATTTTGCTAGATATGGTGTCTAAATTCTTAATAATTGAAGTACTTTTAATGCTAGTGACTCAATTTATCTCATTCCTTTTTTCTTTCTCCACTCAGTCTGCTTGTGGATACTTAAGTAATGGTGAAAAATAATAGGTACGACGCACAGATGTTCTTTCTGCGTGGAGTGGTATTCGACCATTGGCAATGGATCCATCAGCAAAGAATACTGAGAGTATCTCCAGGGATCATGTTGTATGTGAAGATTATCCTGGTTTGGTCACAATTACTGGTGGAAAGTGGACAACATACCGAAGGTAATGTTTGATCAACTAGCTGATAGTGTTTGTTAACAGATTATTGGAGGGTTTCCATACAAAGGTTAGTGCAAATATGCAGATGTAGAGGTGTTGCCTACCTCTGATGCATGTTCAATAGTATTGGTACCTTATGTAGTAATCTCTTCCCTAGTGATATGTCCCTTTCCTTGTGACCTTTTATTAGCCAAAATTATTTTCACAAGCTAATTTTCTACTCCTCTTATTCCTTCTTGCCTCTCTCTTTTTTTCTTTGCACATGAGTTTTGTGCTTACTAGAACCATTTGCAGCATGGCAGAAGATGCAGTTAATGCCGCTATAAAGTCTGGAAAGTTGAGTCCAAGCAATGGATGCTTAACGCATAACCTGCGGCTTATTGGTGGAGACGGATGGGAACCTTCACATTTCACTGTTCTTGCTCAACAATATGTACGCATGAAAAGGACGTATGGTGGTAAAGTTGTTCCAGGGGTTATGGACACTGCTACCGCAAAGCATCTGTCTCATGCATATGGCACATTGGCAGAAAAAGTTGCTACCATAGCTCAGGTTGGTTTGTCTTGCTCTGTATGAATTTAACTCTAATAGATACACAAACTTAACCCTAAATCCCTAATATTGATAGGAATTGAAATTGAGATCATTTATGGATGTTGGAGTGCCCCAAGTAAAACAAGTTTCGAATGTACATTTATTGGTTTCAAGTGCTGCTGAAAATCTAGATAACTTTTAAATATCCGTTGTAAGTGATATCCTCATTTGCATCAATATGAATACCACAGTTCTTGAACCTTAACAATTGGTATATAGCTCATCTAAGTCTGACAGACAAGCTTGGATATTTTACATTTTCGGTAGTGTATATGGTGTGCGTTCTACTTTATACCTGTGATCATAGTTTGTCTGGAGTTGACCATATTGGATACTTTGATTCCCTGGAAATATTTTCTTTTCCATGTGATAAGATTATTGTACGAAATATGGTGGTGCATATCATGTATATTGTGTTTTGATGTGACCATGTAGTTCTTTCTTTTGGTGGTTAACATAAATCCATCTTTTAACTGTATAGAATGAAGGTTTGGGAAAGCGGCTTGCCCATGGGTACCCTTTTTTAGAGGCTGAGGTTGCTTACTGTGCCCGATATGAATACTGTGAATCTGCTGTAGATTTCATTGCTAGAAGATCTCGGCTTGCATTCCTTGACACTGATGCAGCAGGCAGGGCATTGCCACGCATCATTGAGATATTAGCCAAGGAACACAATTGGGATAAGTCAAGGCGGAAGCAAGAGTTTCAGAAGAGTAAAGAATTCTTGGAGACTTTCAAATCCTCAAAAAATGCTCAGTTCCATGACGGGAAGCACAATTAGTATGTCCAATAAGCATTTCCCATTCATTTCGCTTTGGTAAATCAGAAAATCCCCTACTGATCATGATTCATTTTTCACTTTGTTTTAGGGTCTTAAGTTCAGGCAAAAGCTCATTTTTTTTTAAGAGATTGATTTTGGCTTAATCCCTCTTCCAGTAAGTCTCCAAGGTTGTGCTGGCGTGAAAAAAAAAAAAAAAAAAATTAACCACTTCTTGTCCAATTCACTCACTTTTGAGCTTGTGTCACACTGGTGTCTATCAAAATAACGATCCAATTCTTCTGCGTTCCGGTTCCCATTTTCATTCAGCCACTTCTCCAAGGTCTTTTTATAATTATTGTTACTGAAACTAGTGAAGAATTGTGATTACATTTTTTAGTTGTCAGTTCTTTTTCTTGTATATTTTCAATAAAGAAATGCAGAATTGCATTGAATTGACTTCGTTGCCAAGCTCTTGTTGTTGCATACATTTATTGTCCCACTTTCGTTGCCAAGCTCTTGTTGTTGCATACATTTATTGTCCCACTTCTATAAACCCAGGCTTCTTGAAACTTAAATAATCATAATACCTCCTATACTTTTTATAAGTCTACCATTGTATACTTGAATAACCAATTTGTGGGAAGCAAAAATACAAATAAAAAATAGTTGTGTCTAAAGGTTTATAATTGCAAATGTTGCTAACCATTAACCAAGAAGATTAATCTCCTTCGTCAAGTCTTCGTAATTTTGAGATCTCTTCATGTTAATACTTAATGAACAACTAACCTATGAGACTTTATATTAACAAACAACATATCTATGGGGGTTTAATAGGATGGTTAAGCCTATAATTTGTTTCCACAAGGCTTGGGGTTTCATCGGTCTCATGGGCATGTAAATAGCTAAAAGACGGGTGCGTTTGATTTATTATTTTGAATAGGATTTTGGAGATAGTATTGGCTAATTGAATAGGGTGATTATTATGAGATAAAATTTAAAAATTTACAAAAAAAACCCCTAGGTTTGCTAATTTAACTAAACACCCCAATATATAAAAATTTTATAAAATAACAAAAATAACCCCACCCGCCACCCATAGTGCAAGATTCCGGCCACCACCGCCAGAATCTGGTCGAAATCTGGTGTTACGATGCAGACCAGTCGGATTTGGCCGGACATGCATCGATCTAGCCCTTTTCAGCTAGATCCACAAATCTGGCAGGAAAATGCCAGATCGATGGCCAGATCTAGCCGTTAACGACCGAAAAAGGCCATATCTGGCTGTCAGTGATGGCCAAAGAAATGGCCGTCGTTGATCAACGACAATCATTTCTTTGCAATGGCCAGATCGACGAATTGTCGACCAGTTCCGGTCGTTTGTAGGTCATTGTGACAGATTCTGGCTACTACTAACGGTGGTTGCCGGAATCTGGCAACTATGGGTGGGTGGGTGGGGGTGTTTTTGTTAATTTTTAAACTTTTTTCTGGGGGTATTTATGAAATAAATAAACTTAAGGGGTCTAAAAAATTAAAAAAATATAATAGTATTTCCTAAATAATTAAACAAACAAATATTTTGGGAATAAAATTGGAAATATGGATAGAAATAATAAACCAAACGCACGTTTTCCCTTTTTAAAGATTATAGGGTTTGATAAGACTTTAGATTCAAATTCGATCGTAACCCACAATATTATTGTAGCAGGTGACCCTAAGGTTTGAATTCAAAAACCCAAGGAAGGGAGCAAACCTCTTTGTCCATTAAGCTAACTCCATGAATTCATCAAACTATGGGGGTATTTGTCCGAGCTTATGAAAATTAGTTTATAAGCAACAAATGTTTATAAGCTAATTTTAGCTTATAAGTATTTGAAATTTTAAACAATTACGTGTTTGGTTAAAGTATTTATAAGTGACTAATAAGTAATTAACGTATTTGGTAAAATGTGCCTTATAAGTACATTTTATTATAAAATGACTAAAAAAGGTATTACATTAAATAAGGGCATACTATGAAATTTTAAAATTAAATAAGGATAATGTAGTAATATACTTGGTCTCTGCTTATAAGCCCAAAAAAAAAAAAAAAAGTACCTCCCCCTAACTTTTTTTTTTTTTGTTTATAAGCTCAACTTATAAACTCAAAAAAATTATAAATAAACACATCAGTTTAATTTTAGAACTTATAAATGAGTTTGACCAACTTATAAACTTAAATAAACACGCTCCATGTTCTCAATTGTGTGTATATATATATATATATATTCTTTGTTAAAACAAAAAATCGCATTATATATATATATATATATATATTCTTTGTTAAAACAAAAAATCGCATTGGATAGAATAGCGGACTGCGTAAGCGCAAATAAAAACCAACCCCAAGTGGCGGAATTCGTCCTCAATTTTCATCACTTCAGAAAGCCAAGAATGGCTTCGGTAGCAACAACTTCAACAGCAACGCTCTTCTCTTCACTCCTCTCAAGACCCTCTTTCTCCCTCTTCCGTACTCGCCCTCGCATCACTTGCTCTTCCTCTTCAACTTCTACTTCTTCTTCTTCTTCTTCCTCCCTTCAATTCAACATCTCATTTGCTCCACCAAAGCCCAAACCAACACAAACCACCCTCCCTCGACACCAACGCCAACTTCAAGAAAATGACGACGACGACGAAGAATTCGGTGGGCCCCAACAGCTCTTCATTCCCTGGATTGTGCGTGGGGAGGATGGCAACCTCAAACTCCAAACCCACCCGCCTGCCCGTCTCATCCACGCTCTTGCCGATGCCAAGACCCAGAAGCCCAAACAGAAGAAGAAAAAGAACGATGGTGATGGAGGTGCTAAGAATGTAAAGCTTTCCAAAGCCGCTCGTAGATTTTATAATGACAACTTCAGAGACCCCCCTGAACGCCTCAGTAAAGTCTTAGCTGCAGCCGGTGGTAATATATAATATATCTATATTCTTTAGATACTTTTGACGCCATGAAGTGCTTCTCAATAACCATTAAGTGCTTTTATGTTCCCAAAATGTTCATATAAGTGATATCACTTCTTACTTGACATGACGCGTAAATGATAATTTGATTTCTTAATGCTACCTAGGACTTTAGTATCTCATATTTTTCATATAGTGGCGTGTCTTCTTCTGTGATATGGTTTAAAAGGTACTTAATTGGTGCTTCTTGAGTAAGAAGAACACTTAAAATAGCTTCAAAAAGGCATTTGATGTAGAGACACGAGTTGTTAACTTAAGATATATTTTTTCTGGCTTGTTTTGGTGAATGATTAGTGTGCAGTTGAACTGTATAAATCCAAATTGTGTATTCAAGTGGAAGAGGAATTTGACAATAAATTTTTGTATAATAGTCTTGAAATTGCTAGTAATGGTTTGAGCTATTTATATATGTTATTAGTGGCATCAAGACGGGGTAGTGAAGAGCTAATATTTGAAGGTCGAGTGACTGTAAATGGTTCTGTATGCAATACTCCTCAGGTGAGCTCTTAATTTTTTATTTTTTTATTATTATTATTATTATTTTTTGTTGGTTGTACCTTGTTTGTTAATAGGCTATAATTGGTATAGGTTGCTCTATCAAAGGAGAAGAGACATAATTATTTTTTTGATTTGTTTACCGCACAAGTATTAAATGCTAGGATTATCATGTTTAGCATCTAGAATTTAAGCCTTTGTTACTTGTGATGATGTGCAGACTAGAGTTGATCCTGCTAGTGATATCATTTATGTAAATGGGAAACGCCTTCCTAAGAAATTGCCGCCAAAAGTGTATCTTGCGCTGTACAAACCAAAAGGGTTTGTAATTTTTATTCTTTTACCTGCAGTTGTTACCTAATACCCTTGTGAATGGTCCTTTTTGTCTTGTCTATTCTAAATTTAACTTTAGAAGCTATGTTTAGATTAATTTAATCATTTTATGGCAGGTACATCTGTTCATCAGGGGAGAAGGAGTTTAAGTCTGTCATTAGTCTATTTGATGATTATATGAAGAGTTGGGTATGTGCTGGTTACAGTTTTTGAGTCTACTTTTTGAGTTATATATTGTGATAATTGGTGGGAAAAAAGGTTTTGAGTAGAGGAAACTAAATTGAAGTCAGTTCTATTGGGATATTATCAAATTATATATGTATATGTTACTCAACAGTTGTATCTTTAAAATTTATTCATAAACTGTTTGCATTTACAGGATAAAAGAAATCCAGGACTACCTAGACCGCGATTGTTCACTGTTGGTCGCCTTGATGTTGCCACAACAGGATTGATTATAGTGACTAATGATGGTATGTATACTACTACACATGAATATTGTATGAGAAGGATTTTCAATTGAAGTGATTTATCTAATCCATATTAATGTTATATGTTTCCAGGAGATTTTGCTCAGGAAGTTTCACATCCTTCATCTAAGTTGCCTAAAGAGTAAGGTTTCACCATTATTATCAGTAATGACGGACTACTCTGTTTGATTATTACAAAAGAAAGATGGTTGTTTTCACATAAAATGCTTCTCCCTCTCTCCCTCTCTCTTTTTAATTTTTTTTTTCTCTCATTTTTTTATGAATGCCAGAGGGCTGAAATTTTCAGCTCTAGTACTTTGTTATGCATTTTAATGTTATTGTCATTTCTTGAACTTATGCACCCATTCTTTCTTTTGTTTCCTGACAGTTATGTTTGAGGTTAACTTGTGTGATTCCCATAAAAATGTATTTCCTGATTACAAACATCTGTACGTTCTGTCTCCGTAGATACATTGCAACCATAGATGGTGCAGTAAATAGGCGGCACTTAATAGCCATCAGTGAAGGAACAGTTATTGAAGGCACCCATTGTACTCCAGATTTGGTGGAGTTGTTACCACGACAACCAGATATTTCAAGACCTCGTCTTCGTGTTGTGGTATGTTATCTATTTCCATGCCTGTAAGCTGTAACTGTTTCAATAAACTATGTAATTGCATTCATTCTGTGGCACTTACAAACTTGCTTAGATTTCCTCCACTTACAATATATCCGTTACATGATCTACCGTAGCTTTGAGATGTTACTAGTTTTGTTTGGGTTAAGAGCAACTGATACTTGTGGCTGGTTTTCTATTGGATTTTTTTAATATGGAGTATGTTGTACTCTTCTATGTTTTGTGGGTGTCACTTTAACCCATTTACTTGGGGATGTATCTCTCCCATATTTATATCGTCGGTGAGGATATGAAGTGGGAACAAATTTTTTGACTAGACAGCCTTAATATTATACTCTTTTTATTCTTTTCAACTATATTAAACAAGATTAGTCCTAGTTGCTTAAACTGGATTCATGCAGGTTCATGAAGGGAGGAACCATGAAGTTCGAGAACTTGTGAAGAACGCTGGACTTGAGGTCAGCTTAGGAAAGATTTTTGACATGCAATCATAACTTGAACTTATTCATAAAATTTTATTGATTTTTTTCAAGTGAGTGGATACCATGAAAATTAGTGGGATTGTAATCATTTTATGATTATATGCTGATGAAGTTTATTTTTGATAAAATCCGGACATTGGTGGTATCCTTGGTGACACCACTGGGCGTTGCATATATGGATTATTTGTGCTCTTCTTTTTTCCATCCGCTTCATTTTTCAATGGTACTTAAGTGAGCTATTTTTGTTATTGTTTCTCCAGATTTACTCATTAAAACGAGTAAGGATTGGTGGGTTCAGACTTCCTTCAGATCTTGGGTAATTCTCTTCATCCTTGTCTGAGAACATTATGAGGGTGGACCTCTTTTTCTTTAAGTAATATTTACCTTTTTTTTTTCCCATCACTCGAAATCAGCATGCATTTGTGATCTCATTGTCCAAGCCAGTGGTGAACCCTGGAACTTCATATCGGGACAATGGTGCAAACATTCAATCACAATAAAGTTTGTAACTTTTTTGAGCTAATTCTAACTAATTTGTACAATAGGGTTTTAAGAATCTTCAAGTGATATTTTGACTAAGTTAAAACTTAAAGATACAAGTTATTAATATTACACTATTACTAAGTCTTACATTACATAAGTTGCATGTATCTTCCTAGACAGACTTATCATAGTGAGCAAATTTGGTAGCTGAAAAAGCACGTGTCCATGTTACTTTATCCTCGTTGGCTAAAAGCTTCGAAATTTGTGCTGATTGTTTCATGAATTTCAGGCTTGGAAAGCACGTGGAATTAAAACAGTCTGATCTTAAATCGATCGGTTGGAAGAATTGAGTTGCTACAAAGCAGGGAGTTTGCACATCATTTCTGTTTCTTCAAGCAAAGTACAGTCAGACGAAACATGGCTTCACAGTTCTGTCTGGAGTATCGCTGATGTTTATCAGTGAGAATGTTGAAGGGTCCCTTGCCCCTTTTAGAGGAAGTCTATGAATCATGAGGATGACTGCCTTATATACTTGACAGGGACAGCGATTTGTATCATAGTGAAACAGAAGGCTATCCAAGTCTAAAACAGAAAAAAGTGTCAAAACTTCATTGGTGATGGAAAATTTTCATCAATCAAAACCGTCTCTGTAAACGGGTAACTGGCAAGAGTTGCAAGCAAAATCTTATACGTATGCAATGAAAATGTATAGGAAGAACCTGCAATTGGTGTTTATTTAGCTTAAACTCAGCTTGCTGGTTGTTTGAGATCGAAGGTATCCTGCTTTTACACATTTTTGAGGCCCAATCTGGACTAAAAATGTTTCTGACATCTACGTAATAGGATTTTGTGACTTGGTATATGCAGTTCTGTTCGCAAAAAAAAATTGGCTTCTTCCTAAATCAATGTTATAGTATTTTTCCCCTTCTGAACCCAAACCATGGATCTTCTGTTGTTTCTCTATCTTTGTTATTAATATTTTGTTTTATTACTGAAAATCCTTCATAAGTTGAGAAGGTTGAAGCTCTTCAACTACAGAAACGAATAGGGATAGGATTTTGAGCCCAATTTGACCCAAGAAAAAACCAAAAGCGTAAAGTGAAGGAAATCTGATATGGGAATAAGAAACCTCAACTGTTGAGGCTAAAATTCATTGTTTGAGGTTGAAGCAATCCAAGGAAAAGGATTCAGACTGACTACCTCAATAAAAGAGCCCACTTATCGACCAAACTTACTAATCACTTCACATCAGGCCCAACTGAGGAATCATATCAGAATCTTTAAGGAAATTGTTACTTTATCAGCAAGAAATTCTGGTAAACATCAAAGTTATACTTTAAAGTTGAAACTTAGGATTACATAAAGACATCATTATTAATTTATCGTCACAATATCCATATAATTAATGTTGTTGTTTAGAAGCACCATATTTGTTAGGGGTGTTAAAAAAAAATGCAAAAACCGAACCGAATCGGTAACTAAACCGGTTTTCCATTTATCTTGGTTAGGTTTCGGATAAAAAAAGTACAAAAACCGATTTTTCGGTTCGGTTACTGGTTTACGAGAATATGGGAACCAGTTAACTGAGACCGGTTTATCATAAAAAATATTAAATTAAAGTAAAAAATAAAAAATCCGATTTATTATAAAATATTAAATTAAAACCGGTTTTCCCTTTAACTAGTTGGGATTCAGTTATCAAAACACTTACTATTGAGCTAATCATTTGGGCGAAAGATATCATGAAAATTCCAAACAACAACACTACGCGTACGCTCTCTCTTACAAAGAGAGAGCGTACGCACTGACGTGGCACGCCAGGTGGTGTGCCACATCAATGACATGTGGCATGTGGGCCATAGTTCTTAATCTCCAAAAATTTAAAATATATATATAATTTCAAACCCAAATTTCCCAGTTCCCACATTGTGCGACCTAAATCAAATTCCCTTCCCTAATTTCATCTTCATCTCAAATCAAATTTTACAATTCCTATCTCATCAACCTTTCCATTAATTTATGAAATTCCATTTTTTTCCCAAAAAGCCACCCTCAATAGAAGATCCTATTGATTTGGTTGAGGCGAAGCAATAAAAAAGAGTTGTATCTGTTAAAGACCCATCACCAGCAGCGAGACTAGTGCCAGCATCCTTGCCTATTCCAACATCTCTTAGCATTGATCGAGTAATGGCTTCACTTAACAAACAAGACCAGTAGCCAACCATTGATCTTGTCGATCCACCCACATTAGTGGCAAAGGAAGAAGCTTTAAGGGCAAAAAAGAGGATATACATAGCTATTTTACTAAATTCACTTGGGATAACCACCATGCGACCACCACTCTCAACGGCTCCTACCGCCGCCGCATACCGCCAGAGCTCAATCACCATAGCCACCGCCATTGCTTGTATGTGTACCTTGACTGTTTTCACTTTCACTAATAAACTCAATCCCAAAACCCATAAGTTCTTGTACATATCTCAATCTTCATTTTTAATAAACAAAGTCATTACTCATTGCAGAACTAGGTCGTGAAAAAAATGAAGTTTTGGATTCATATTTTGAGAAAGTTAAGATTTTGATGAAAGGGGGAATCGTTTTAGGGGCGCTTGTCTATGGGGTTTTGGTGTTTGGTTGCAAGAGAGTTTTTGTTGTAGAAAGTGTAATTAATGCAGGGTATGGAGGTTGATTTCATTGAATTCAAATCTGCATATTGGTTGGATTTGGTGAAAATGGCTGGATTTGGTGAAAATGCAGAATTTTTTGGTGCAACTATTGCAACTGCATTGTTGCACTGTAGGCAGATTCCAGAAGTGTTTTCGGTGCAGTGTTTGTGTGCTGGAAGTGATGGCTAGACCTGTTTTTGTGCATTTGAGGAGGTATATCCGGGTTTTTGAGGAGTCAAGCTGTATTTTGACATTGTTTTTGTGCATTCGAGGAGGTATATTCGGGCATTTGAGGAGTCAAGTTGCATTCTGACAGTGTTTTTTTCTTTTGTTTTTGTTTCTTTTTGGTCAATTGTTCATGGCAGTTGAAAATTGAACTAGGTCGGCTCAAGCAAGAAGAAAGTCTGATATCTGACCTTGTGCATAATTGTTTGAATATGATATATGTTGAAGATGGTGTTGAGCAATGTAAAGTAGTCGAGTGAATCCATGTGCAAGTTGTTTGTGTACTCTATATGTCTGATGCTTTATTGGATGTAATCTTTAGAGTTTTATTTTACTAGTTTTATGAGCGCTTTTGGTTAATGCAAGGATTTGTAAACTTACCCAATTTTGGGAGGAAAAGAAATAAATAAATACACAAAATGCATTGTTTCGATTGCAATGTTTTATGTTACATGTACAAGATGCTTGCTTGCGTAAATGATACTTCACGGAAATGGAACAGCTCTTCAGAGAAGGACATTAAACACAAAATCACATAATGCAATATTGAAATGCAAAAAGAAATGACATCCACCAAGGATATACATCCTTATACACAAAAGCAACACAAACACAAGATAACCAAACTCTACAATCTTGAGAGCCTTTACAAAAAAAAAAAAAAAAACAGCAGGAAAACAAGGGGACACCGCCCTAAACTTGCCCAGTATCCAGCAACAGCAAAAAAAAAAAAAAAAAAAAAAAAAAAAAAACCAGCTTCACTACCAATAAAGAGAAAAGGATGCAGCATAACAAAAGCTGCTACTATCACTCCAACCTGCCCAACCAACACTCCAACAAGTAGAACATTACACTACACACTACAAAAACTGCAAATGCACAACCTACAACCAACACTTTACACACTACACAACTACAAATGCACAACTTGCACCACCAGCCCATTAAACATTGCACAAACTACACTTGCAGCCCATTTGTCCTCTTTTTTACAAGGGATAGAACCCATCAATCTGCACCTTATATATATCAAGACGTATATAAAGAAGACAATGCAATATTAAAACTCAAGAAATTCGACACCTAGACTTTCAATAGTAGATTCACATAACCAATCAACTCAACTCAATATCATAATATGCAAATTTAAATTCAATAATATTTGAAATTTCAATCACTATTCAATAGCTAAAAGGATATACGCCTGGTAATTTTATAGAGAATAAAAGATGCAAAGTAAGAAATGGGAATTCCCCAAAGGAACCAAGTTCTTAGGACATGCACAAAGAGGCTAAGCTACATAGAGAAACCAAGAGCAACAAAAGGATTTACACCCTTTATACACAAAAACCTATACACAACCAGCAAAAACACCCACGGAAACAACAAAAATCAGCTTCCTGTGGCTGATCAAAAAGTGCACAAGCTACTCAGATGCAACACCTACTGTGCAGATTGCTAAGACACAAAACCAGGCTTGTCAAAGCTCACATCAGCAGCCAGCAGCCAACCCAAAAAAATGTCACCTGCAGCACACCTAGCTATGCACTTGGAAGTAGTTGGTTGCAAGCAACACACCAAAAATAAGAAACAATGCCCGAGCTCTCCCCAAACCACAAACAACATTACAACTACATTGCAGGTACACCTGAGAAGAGTCCACGTCCTAGTCTCCTGCAACATATATGTTGAAGTCGTGATATTTATCAATAAATAGAATAAAAACAATGAAATAGTCAACAAAATAAATAATTACTAAGTTTTTATCTTCATGCTTTATCCTCTTTTTCTTGCTTTTGCAATTTCTTCTTTTTTAATTTACGAACAATTTGTTCAAGGCTCGATTGCTTTTTTTTGAATGGAGGACGACCTTTGCTACGGATAGCCCGTGGATTAAGAATATTACTACTCCCCTCTTTCAAAGCACCACCAACACTTTCACAATTCATTCTACTATGAGATGACAAGTTTTCTCTTCTATCATTACCACCAACACTTTTAGTCAATATCAATTTGTTCTTAAGATGATTAATCACGTTCATCACCATGTTACAATCATCCTCATTAGTAGATGTCAAGTCCACTATAGTAGAAAGTAAATTAGACAACTTATCAAATCGTTGTCCTTCAATATTGGTGCTCCAACAATTATAACTTATCTTAACCTTTGTATGACATCTACTTATATTTTCTTCCATCATCTTAAAATGTACTTTTCAGGCACACGAGAAATTCTCTTATGAATCAACACTGTAATTGCATGTTGACATAAAATTCCCCTAAACTCAAACAATCGACAATTGCAACGAACATTAGAACTTGATCCATCAAAGCAAACTACAAAAGGAATAGGACGGTGAGTCTCTTCAACCAGAACATCTTCTTCTATTATAAATTCCACACATGAATCAACCTCTTTAGAAGGAGATATTTGACAATAAAGCTTACCAACAAGTTCTTGTTGGAACTCCTTGAATTTGGCAATGGTATATGCATCTTGCTATTGAGAAGAATTTGGCAATGGTATATGCATCTTGAAATTGTTTCTCAATAGCATATGTGCTTATGCAAGGAATCTATAATTTGAAAGATTTAAAATTAGCCTCATTTTCTTTCTCCACTTTATCACACAATGCATTATTATATTGTTCCACAAATTGTTTTAACGTGGTTTTTGAATTAATATATCCATCAAAGAATGCATGCATACTTTCACTATGTTGGGTAGTAGATATACCTACCCAAAAAGTATCTTTCACAAATGCCGGCACTCAACACCGTCGTTCATTATACAGCCCAAGTAACCATTCATTGGCCTGGAGGTTGTGTTTGTCAATGAAACAATTCCAACATTCTTCAAACTCTTCATGTGTCAATGAATCATACATAATATTTTGCAAAGAAAACTTGATAGGTTCATATTGGCTATAACCTCTCAACTTTTCAGGCAATTTCTTCATTATATGCCACAAACACCATCTATGTCGTGTACTAGGAAACACAATTTCGATTGCTTTTTGCATTGCCCTATCTTGATCAG